GATTTAGATCAAGCCTGGCGGCCCAAAAACCTTCAAGTTTTCCGGGCTTGGGCTTGGATGCAAGGCGTTACGCGATGGTGTGTTTGGCCCTCCGCCTTTTTCCCCCATATCGTCTCAACCCCTGAACGCACATCTCTCAGAATTGGAATTCAGAAGCACCGCAGCCTAGGAAGATCCCCAGGCGGCAATACCCTTCAATGAGTTAGAGCACCTCAGCTGTAGCATGCGACCAGACTGCGACTTCGTCATCTGAGATAAGGATATACCCTAGACCCTGAACCCTAAACCCTAATGGGTTTTGAGCTCGCCGGGCAGACATTTTAGCACGATCTGGGTTTGAGCACGTGTTTGGAGCCCAGGCAGCGGCGGAAATCTCGGGCAAAGGCCAATAAAGCCCTAAACCCTGAGTACCCTGAGCCTACAACCCTGAGAGAGCCCGAACCCCCCCCCCCCCAANNAAAAAAAACAAAAATAAAAACAGAGTTTGAAAGTCCTGATGGCTCGAGGCCGATCCACGCCGTCACCTCGGCCGAGTGTCGGCCAAGGTACTGACAGTCCGGGTTCGGGGCGGCTTGTGGTTGTGGGGTCGCAGAGAGCCGAATGCCGATTAAGCCAGGCATAGGCTTTAGACTTTAGAGAGGTCACTGTAGTGTTTTTTCGTGTAGGTGCCATCTTGCTTAATTGCGCATGTTTGTCCCTAATCCTTGTCGCTATTTCCCACCTATGGTCTCCATGTCGCAGTTCCTTTTTGGGTTAAACGAATGGTACACCGCCCAAGAAGGAACTACACTAGACTCTAGGCAATCCCCCTATGGATTCTGGATCCCATGCCCTCAGAACTTGAAAGCCCTAACACCAGAACTCGGTGAAGTTTCGGGTTTGGGATGTTGCGTAGGTTTTTTCACACACCCATCCCCCCCCCCCCCCCACCCGCAGATCCATATCGCGCAGAGGAGTATCCAGAAAACCGAACTGTCTCGAATTCAGGCCCTTCGGTTCTAGGCTCGACGGCTGAATGACAACCTTTGTCTTCTTTCCTTTCAAGCTTTATAAGCTTTTTCTAAGTTTTTCTATGTTCCTTTCAAGCTTTACAAGGGCCCTTGAGGGTTTAGGATCGCGATTTCAAGCAGTCCCAGGTTAGTGGCTACACGCAGTGCAGCCACTGAAGGTCACATACAGCGTGCCCTGCAGCCCCTGCGGGAAACAGCATGTAGGTTTGGGAAAATCTGACCAAAATCTAAACATCCCAAGATGGGAAAGCTTCAGTTCAAGGAACAGTGTTCAACTACGGACATAGTCGTGGGAGCCATGGGATCTTTCGGCCATCGAGTTCTGTGGTCTTCTGCGCCTACCAGAAATAACGGTTTATGCATACAGGGGCCTGATGGGTCATCTTGGGGTTCTATAAGCAATGTTGCTAGTAATTGTTCAATAGTGCCTCCGGGGAGAGATAGGTGGATTGAATGACACATTGGGTATACAAGGTCGTGGGTTGGGGCTTCGCGGTATCTCTCGATTCGTTGACCTCTCGGGATTTAGGGATATATGGTGGAAGCGCAAAGCGTTAACTTGCAAGCCTCTCAGTGACTACAATATGCTTTGAGTCTCATAAATAATACTAACAGCAGTTCCAATCATGATAAGATTGATGAGAATGCTGAAGCCATCCTGAAGCGTTCTACTTGCACATGCTGAGTCGCAACACATTGGCAGGCTTCGGAAATTCCCCTGCTGGCAATCGTCTCGTGCTGCCCTCGGCTCGAACACCAGTACTGTGACCGGTGCTTGAGAGTTCCGGCTTTCTGTGGCTCCCGCATCGTTTGCGCATTTTTCTCTCTGGCGTTGATCGTCCTCATTAAGGTGGTTCATTAATAATCAGGGGTCTTACTCCCCTCAGCTGTGTCATTGAGGAGTGTACCTTCCGCGGCAGCTTGTGACTATGGTTAGTTAGAGTATTAAGCATTGTAGAACGTGAGGATTCGATTTCGGTTGCAGTGTTTACGGATGTAGGGGTTTATAGTGGGGTTTGGCTGACCATGGAACTTCTGAAGGTTTTAACTTAAGCAAGCTTAATCCCTAGTTATGAACCCAACACCCCTCATACTAAAACCTAGAGGGTTTAGGGTTTAGGGTGAAGTATATCTGTGCCAAAACCAGCTCCGAGATGAACTGCTCCGAGCCTACACTTACACACTCGACTTTGAACTCCAATGCCCGCACGTCGAAGGCCTCAAGCCTTATTAGGGTTTAGGGTTTTATGGGTTCAGCGTGTTTTTATGGACATTTATGGATTTAGTTGTTTTAATGGGTTTAAGGTTTTTTTATGGGTTTAGGATTCTTAGGGTTTATAAGAGTTTAGGGCTTAAGCACAAAATCGTGAATTCTACGATTCCTGGGTTTGCCAGAGGCCTCGACGCATGGCCATGCGAAATCCTCTTGGCGCTCGCCATCAGAAGGCCGTTTGGGCCCCGGCCCCGAAGAAAGGGCAGTACTCTAAAATGGTCTAAGGGCTTCGGGATTGGTTTAGGGTTTATACAAAAATTGGTAAGGGCTTGGGTGCCAATAAGTGTTAACCGAACCTGGCTAGGACTGGGGTGTCTGTCTTTTGCTGATTTTTGGCTGGCTGGTGGGGTGGGGCTGGGGAGCTCGGGGCTTGGGGCCGGGGCTGTGGCTAAGGCAAATTGACGGTTTTGCGGGGTCAAGGTGAACAGACGCGCAAGTTCTCCGTACAGGATGCCAAGACCCGGAATCTTAGAACAACAGCACCGTCTAAACCCATACAATGGTGGGAACATGTCGGGAACCCCTTTTTGGGGGACTGTGTTTGCTGGATCCTTCAATGCTGCATTAAAGGCCCTGTAGCCCTGATCTCTGAACCCTAGCTACCGTTCCTTTTGGCAGTGTCCTAGACACCCCAAAAAATTATTCTAATCATTGAGGCCCCTAAACAATAAACCCTAGACACCCAAAAAATTCTGCTAATCAGTTAAGGCCCCTACGAAGACGATTCCCGAGGCATCGGGAGCGGACCGCACTGGGGCCCTGCAGATGGGTCTGGGCAGACGAGAACTCCACGAAGCTCGGTGGAACAGCCTATAGTCATAGGCTCCTTAGCAGTTCCTTTTTGGGATTACCCTATAGGATTCTAAAACATAAACCACAAGAAGGAACTACTTAGGAGCCTATGGGTAGTCGGTGGCCTTACGAAGGGCTCCTTATCAGGGTTTTCTTGCATGTTCACATGGGTTCTTACCTAGTCTTACAAGGCTACATTCTGTAAGGTTCTATGAGGGGCTTTGGGGTTTTGTGGGTGTTCGTATCGGGTCAGGGCAAGAAGGTTTCATCCCTACCTATTGCTACCGCTTGCCCAGCCTGCCCAAGTTTTGTCCTGAAGAGATGCTTTTCTGCGGGGCCGTGCGATTCCCAAAGGGTCCTATGTACTGTTATGGGGCATACTTCCCCGAATCGTAATAGGAATTCCTAATATAGAAACCTTACGTTCTATATAGGTACTTTGGACCCTTTGGGATTGTTTATGGCTGGGGCCGCTTTACATTTCAGGGTCCCTCGGTTGAGAAGTTGAAAGTCCTTCTCTGGATTAGGACTCCCCTCTCTGGCCGCATAACAGATGCAGGATCGGTCTTGCTAAGCCGGACCGAAACCCTTCGACCCGAGAATATGCCAGTCACCTGTCAGGCTTTGACAAGGCGGCGCAATCGCCCATGCGGAGGCTCTCCGTGTGGTGCAGGATATGAACTATGGAGTAGCGTTGGGGGCTTGAGTGCCTCCTGTGAGACGCAAGCCGCTCGATTGCTTAACCTGACCACGACCACGATGATGGATCACACTGCTGACGATGGTGATGGCATGGTGATGGTGATAATCAAGATGAAGAAGACGATTATTAGGATGACGATGATGAGATTCCTGTAGTGGCCGGTCGGTTACAGCACACTTGACAGTGATCGTTGAGATCAGCCCTGTTGGCTGTGAATGTGTCACCTGCCTTTCCACATTTGTTGTGTTTTTGGAACTGCAGGTTGTTGTTGCTAAGGCTCAGAGGGCTGAAAGACAACGTTCTTAACTAGACAGACACTCACAAGTCTTGTAATGCTTATCGGGTCCGAATTAGTTAGAGGGATCTGATGCTCATGTGCCTTTCGAAGCTCTACATCTGTCTTGGTTGGGCTCGCTGGTTGTGGTGATTTGGAAGGGTTTCCTACAACTTCATACTGTTTTGGAAGCCCAGTTAAGTCGGCCTGAGGAGACGTGGCTGTATCATGGGCTCAGAAAAAAGTCGGCTCTCCCCATAGGCCCCTAAGTAGCTCCATTTTGTGGTTTATATTTAGAATCCCATAAGCTAATCCCAAAAAGGAACTACTTAGGGGCCTATGGGTCATGATGAAGCCACCTTCTTTGATGCACTGAAGGTCGGTAAGGGTTGTGAGTCTACGGGCAATCTCCAAACTCCTATATTCACAGCTTCAGCCCCGAGCATGGAGGGATGTCCGGATGCTAAGACAGACAGTGCCGGCCATGTCGACGATGGATGCACACAAGAAAGATGCTGGAGCCGTGCTGCTATGCAGCTTTCTACGGTTTTCTTCTCCGCCGATGTTGTCAGCCACATCCTTGATGCCTTTGCCCGCGGCGTTTGAGCTGCAGGCAACGTGCCTTTCTATCGCATCTATACTGCAAGATCTCTTCTTTCAGAGCCCTATGGCTCGGTATCTGCATTGCGCCACGAAGAAGTTCGTCAGCTTCCGTGGCTTGCACGCCTGGGCTTGCATGAAACCGCGCAGAGGCTGGCCTCATGTAGCCTATGTTCTTTGCTTTCTGTAGATTCTGTTTGTAAGTGACTAACAAGAGGCTGTATAAAGAATGCGTAACCCCTAAACCCTTAAAACTCCAAAGCTTGAGCCCTGTATAGGCCCTACAAGCCCCAGAAGCCTATCGCGCTGTTCTGTATTCTCTGGTGAGAGCCGAAAGTCTCAACCCAGGCGAAGAGCCCAGGACGGAGGTGAACGGAGACGAGGCCGACAGCGTCGATCCAGAGGACACTCCTTCGGGTTGGTTAGGGCGGTTAGGGTTTTGGGTGTAATATAGATTCCTGCATAGCACCCTACTATACAAGTATAATGTGAGGACATGCCCTAATTGTTTAGGCCACTGCAATAGAGTTGTAGGGGTTAGAGGATTGAGAGGTTTCGGGTTTCGGGTTGCTTGCTGGTGTCACCACTCGTCCAGCGGCGGTGTTGATTTCACTGTTTGTGTCGTGTCGTCTTGGGATCTCTGTACATGTTGAACGACCACTTGCCGTGTGTTTCTTCATGCTGATGTCGTCGTGATGTCTAGCATTCAGGGGTAGCTGACAGTCACAGGAATTTGCACTTGAAGGCTACCGAGATAATGCCATGTATTCACGTTGGGCACAACAACTGTCATTCACGAGCCATAACCAGCTTGCTAGGTCAATGAGAGGTTGCATCTGAGGTCCTAAACCACGCTGAACACTACCCATAGTCTCAGTGGCATTTTGCTCGGGTAAACCAATCAGATACTTAGGATCCTATGAAGCAACCACCAAAAAGGAACTACACTGGAGACAAAAGGTAGCTTCAGAAGCCTAGGAGGATCGGATGGAGCAAGAAGCTGCCCATGGCCTCCATCTACCCTCTGTCAGAGCCCGAATCCCTAGTACCAATGGCCATGCACCCGTCTTTGAATGAGAGGTCGTAGTAGGTAGCAATTGTATCCCCTCATAATTCCTACATGATTATGCCATTATATAATATATCAGTGTATATATATATATATATACATACATCTCTCTCTCTCTCTCTCCCCCGAAACCCTATTCTGATCCTTAAGGCCCCCTGTGGCAAGGAGGGCCCCGGTCTCCTTGGGGACTACCGCAGCAGCCGAAGTGGAGAGCTGGCTGGTGAGCTGGCGCTGAGTCTGGCGATGTCGAGCCTCCAACAAGCCAGCTTCGCGGACAAAGCTACTTAGGATTTAGGGTTTAGGGTTTAGGGTCTAGGATTTAGGGTTTATAGGGTTTAGGGTTTAGGGTTTGGGGGAAGTGGGTATAAGGGCTTATGGAAAGCATAAGGGTTAAGGGTCCTATGGCCGGTTCATTCAAAGGATCTTCGAGGGCTTCACGCATCAAAGGATTTAGGGGGTTGGAGGTGGTTCGCCTAATGCCACGGAAGAGCATCAGTCGGTCTTCCTAACAGTCGGGCTATATGAGAAAAGTATGTCCGACACAATAGAGGTAGGACGATCGGAAGCAGAGAGAATGATGCGATGCATCGACTTAAAGCAACGAAACCCTGCAGAATAACGGAACTTGCAGTGCAGCATGAGAGCCCATTTTTGAGGAAGTTTTTTCGCGCAGAGCGACCAAAAAGCCAGCCCAGTGGCATCCCTTCGCGAGGATTTGCCCCGCAGTTGCTGTCAATTGATCATACTCTATTTATATGTAGTTTATTGCACGCCAAGTCGTGTAGATAGCACATGATAGCACCGTGGGTGAGTGCAGCCGCCCCTCTTCGTTGCCGCTGTCTTGCCGGAGGAGTGAACAGAGGACAGGAGCACTTTTTGCAGACCGCCAAAAGACTCAGCCAGAAGCAAAAAAACTCAGCACCCCAAGCCCTGAACCCTAAACCTCCTTTTGTAATTCTCTTTATTTTGATTTTCTTCAATATCCTTGTCTAAACCCTATAAATCTAAACCCTTTCAAGGCTCCCTCGGTCCCATTTACCCTTGCAAGGCTTTGCCGGTGCGAAGGCCGCCGACCTCGTGGACTGGCTACAGACGGCGGCGACGTGGAAGCAATGCAGCTTCCGGCGTAGAACCGTTTGCAGCAACTGCGGCTTGGATATTGACGACAAGGAGATATGTGTCAGACAGTATGTGTTTATGAACATATAATATATAGTGGTAAGAAGAATACGAAGATGATAGACAAGGTATTAGAGTAGCTGGTGGTTTGGTTAGCATACGTTCTGTGTTCTTACTGCCGTGGGTTCGAAAAGCTTCACAAACTTAGGACCGGTTCGGTCCTCCAGAGTACGGAAATTTGGCTTAGGATTCAGGGGTTAGGGTTCCGACTGGTTGAGGCTGTTTCGAACATGTGTTCTTGATAGTGCACCGACGGTTGTCTGGTCATTGTCGGCATTCATCTCCAGCAAGCTACCAGGCATGCAAAAGAGATGTACTGTACTGTACCATATATATATACACGCCGTCAAATGCAGCAAAACGGATGTCGTAAGACAAACAGATGAAACAGCACGAGCGTTTCTTAATTGAGCATGGTGCGACTGGTCAAGACGAGAACTGGTGTGTCGCACCATGTCGTACCCTAAAGCCGCATCTTCGTCTGACAGGCTCTACTCTGCAAAGTTATCTTTCCGAGCCTGGGATATCCTTCGGCTCCAGGATTTGGGGGACCGTAAGCCCCCCGCCGGCCCGCCTCCAGGATTTGCACCCAGAATCCGGTAAGTAGCGGTTTCGTGGTTTAAGAGCAAGAGCCGAAATCTGATTTGTAAGTCACAGAGCCTCACCTTGGGCCAACCCTTCTAGCAACAGCAGCAAAAGCAACAGCAACAGCAACAGCAGCAGCAGCAACAACAACAACAACAACCACAACAACCCTCAAAGTTTAGATTTCGGGATGCAGATGTATACCTTAGATCACTAAATTCTAAGTATATAAATTCTAAGCCCTGTAGATGTATCCCTCAGTGTCCATGTACCCAACTATCATCTACTTTGGCCTTGAAGTAGTCCCTATATAGGTACACTCTGGGGCCACCGTATCTACTATTCGGGTACATGGACCCTGTAGACGTTTAGAAGGAGACCTTCGTCAGCCGCATCAACATCGCCACCGAGCTGGGAGACGTAGAGTTGGGCCTTTACGTGCACTACGAAGATCTCTTCAGCCACGAGGTGGACCCTGGCAGCTTGATATCCTGCTTTGCGTTATGAGGCATTATGAGGAGTTTAGGGTTCAGAGATCTAGGGTTCGGGGGTTAGGGTTTGTGAAGGGCTCCTTTGCAGTTTTTTGATATATGTGAGCTGTAAAGCTTCTGGGAGGAGCCTTCGAATTGTTGGCAACCGTCGATCGTGGTTCCCATCTTGGGGATTAGGCAGCCCGGCTATCGTTACACTCATATCTCTTAGTTACGGATCTGTGAGTCTGACTTACTGCAACCTGCTACGGCTACTGGTTCCGAGGGATCCGGAGAAGTCCGTGCTGATGCTCGGGCATACTGTTGCTCGGGTTCATCGTTGCGTCGAAAGGCCAATGGCCAGTGATCTTTGAACCCCAAACCCCGACCCCTAACCCTAGACGCTAGACCCTGACCTTTACAAACGCACCCCGGAGGCTCGCAACACAATTTACAGAACCAGCTTGTGGAATCATACTCGATGTCTTGCTTCAAAACAAGTCTGAGCACCACTGGGCCCCTTCCCGAAGTCTGGGGCGCAAAACCCTAAACCCTAAAGCCAAGTCTGATGCTCGGGAGGTTGGGGGTGTGATCGCTTTCTGGAGCACTTTGCGATGCGACGCCGTGATCGGAGGTGGGAGCATGAACATTAGGTCGAGTGTAGTGCCAGGGCAGCACTCCCATTGCATCCCCTATTACAGTCCAAGCATAGTTGTTGTACCAATATTACAATAATACACCCAAGGACCTTATCCTGAGTTTTGTCAGGGCCCCTTACGTATCCCAAACCAGCATGAATCCTCAAGTATCGGAAAGCGTGGCGGTGTTCAACCAGGGGTCCTAGCTTTCCCCAGACTTTCCAGTTACCGACTAGAGCCTTCGTTGACTTCGGGAACCGCTGGGCCCCTGGGAGAAGGGAATTAGAAACATGAAGGCTTATAGGTATAAGGTTTAGGGTTGGAGCCGGGTTTAGGGTTTAGGGGTGAAGGTTTAGGGTTTATAGGGTTGTGGACGGGTTTTAAAGAGCTCAGAAGGGTTCTAGAAGATCCTAGAAGGGTTGGACTCGGGTGTTTCGAACGAACGATTGCTCAGAATTTGGGAGTAGAAGCTACCTTAACCTACCGAAATCCACTTTCTTGTAAGCTCTTATTTTTAAACCCAGATCGGAGATCTACAACACGTAGGTTCTGGTTGGTTAAAGGTAGATATTGCGGCATGACGCTTTCATCGACAAGGGGTGCAGTTTGGGAGCCTTTGTCTTACATTCGTCCTTCACGCTGCGCATCCTTCCCTTCCATTTTTCGCCACTAGTCCCGGCACAGTTGGCCCCGACTTCGCCCTTGAAAGGTGCACGGCGTGTCAGACCTAAAAAGCCCCTAAACCCGAACGCCTACACCCGAGCACCGTGGATGGGAACCTTGGTTCGGGGATGTGGCGCTCCAGCAGGAGCCCAATATAGTTTAGGGTTTAGGGACGATCGGTCGGGGGAGCTTCAGCTGAACTTGGCCGTTGGGGGGGGGGGGGGGGGG